ATATTAATGCAATTTATGATACATAAGTTATCCCTCTGTTAGAAAGGGGAGGAAATGATAGAGATCAAGTTTCCTTTCCAGGATTTCACATGGCCCTGACTCCCCCAGGTTGTTTGTCTAAGGAAGTAGCCGCACAACTCCATTTTAGATTTAAGTGGTCTAAAAATATTTTTAAGAAAAAGAATAAACAGGGGCACCCGTGTGGCTCAGTCGGTTAAGCATTCGACTTCAGCTCAGGTCGTGATCTTACGGTTTGTGAGATCTCATGGTTCATGAATTCAAGCCCCATGTCAGGCTCTGGGCTGACAGCTCAGGGCCTGGAGCCTGCTTCAGATTCTGTGTCTCCCTCTCTTTCTGCCCTTCCCCGTTCGCTTGATCTCCCCCCACCCCCCGGAAATAAACATTTTTAAAAAGTGGGGAAAAAAAGAGTAAACATATTTTTTTCAATCCCCTTACCTGGTTTCTGGAGGAGGTAGCAAAAAAGAATTCTCACTATATAAATATAAGTAAACAGAAAAGTCTCATGTCACTTAGGACTAAATTTGGCTGTGACAGAAAACCCAAAGTAATCCTGACTTAAAGAAGATAGTATTTATTTTACTATCACCTAAACAAAGTCCAGAGGTAGACAGTCCAGTCCTTATTTGGTGCTGCTCAGTGGGCCCCTTTTATCTTATCGTTCTGCCATCCTTGGCACATGGTTTTTACCTCACTGTCCAAAAGGGCTACTTTAGCTACAATCATTACATCTGCATTCCAGCTACAAGAAAAGATGACAAAGAGACACTCTCCCTTCCATTTAGAGACACTGCCCAGAAGCTCTGTACTTAGCGCTTCCACGTATATCCCACTGGCTGGAACTTAGTTTTATGAGCATGCCTAGCTCCAAGAGACAAGCAGGTTTATTTCAGGGGCTAGGTGCCCAGCTAGAAAGCAGAGTTCTATTACTAAGGACAAAGGCAGGGGCACCTGGTTAAGCATCCGACTCTTGATTTCAGCTTGGTCATGATCTCACCATTCATGAGTTGGAGCCCCACGTGGAGCTCTGTGCTGGCAGCAAGGAGCCTGCTTGAGAGTTTCTGTCTCCCTCTCTCTCTTTGCCCCTCTCCCATTCATTCATGTGCGCGCTCTCTCTCTCTCTCAAAAACTAACAAACAAACTTAAAAAAAAAAAGGACAAAGGCAAAACAGATATTGGGGCACAACTAGCCAGCTCTGCCATAACCCACAGAAGAATTTGTAGTATAAAGGAAAGAAAACATAGCATGCAAAAGATAGAAGAGAATCATATCAGAGAAACATAGATACTTCAGGAACAAAAATTTTTAGATGTATCTATATATGCTCTTAATTTAAAAAAAAAAAATACTTGTACACCCAGAACTGAGTGATACAAGATAAATTGAACAGAGTTCAGGAGGGAATCAGTTGAGAGAAATGAAAAGGGAACTGGGAGGGGCGCCAGGGTGGCTCGGTCAGTTAAGCGTCAGACTTTCAGCTCACATCATAATCTCATGGTTCATGGATCCGAGCCCCACATCAGGCTGTGCGCTGACAGCTCAGAGCCTGGAGCCTGCTTTGGATTCTGCGTCTCCCTCTGTCTCTGCCCCTCCCCCACTTGTGCTCACGCGTGTGCTCTCTCAAATGAATAAACATTAAAAAAAATTTTTTTTTAAAGAAATGAAAAGGGAACTGGATGACTAAAGGAAAAAGCATCTTGAAATTACTTCACAATTGTGAGATTTTGTACTTCATTCGAAGCAGTGAAGAGCAGAACTGACGATGTAGAAAACTGTATCATGAATACAGCTGACAAGCTTGATGAATTTTTCCAGGGCCAATGAGAGAGGGAAAGCAGACAAGACAAATGTGCATCTACAGAGATAACAGACATGGAACACTAACAATGAGGGTCCACTGTGTGGATAATGGCAGTTTTGGAGAAACGATCTAAACCAATGTAAAACGAGCAATATTTAAAACCACAAACAAAGAAAATGTTTGTGAGCTAAAGGTAAAATTTAATCTGCAGATCAACATAGCTTCCTAGATATGAGGAAAAAAGATCATAAATGAAAAGATATCTAGATGCATCCTAGTGAAAGTGTTAATTTCAAGATAAAATAAAGATTCTTATGAGAATCCAAGCAGAAGAAAAATGTCGTTCATCCAGAATGGAAGGCAAATCATCTTTCCTTAGATTTCTCTCCTGTTGTATTAGAAACCTAAACATAATGGAGCAGCAACATCTATGGAGTGAAAACGGTGAGAGCAGGAGAGCTAATCTCTTAGCGACTTAGCAGGATTGGGAGACAGGGATTGTGCACTTGTGTTAAAGAGAGTGATGGTCCCTTTCTTGACCCATCCATTGTATTTTAAATTTCTAAGTAAAAACCTAGAAGATGGGAGAGGGGTACTTACTAGAAAATCCGTGTGATTTCTGCTAGCTATCATACAGTTGATTACTCCTGCAGGGCAAGAACAAGTGACTGGAAAATAATGGTAGACATCTTGTCTGAACACCATGAAAACCTTGGAACTTAAATAAGTTTCATCAAACCAAACCGAGGGCAGTGGAAGTACCCCCTTCCCAAGTGGACTTCATATGTGTGCGGGAACAGCTACTCGATTTCTGAGCCTCTCTCTCTCCCCTGCTCTTTGAGAGTGAGCAATGGAACTTCATTTAGACCAGGAGTCTATCATGGGGACATGAGCTTTCATGTAGGGATCACAGAGATCAGAAGAGTTGGTCTGTGAAATGATATGCAACTTTATGATGTGGCCATTTTGAGGGGGAATAGAATCTAACTTTAATAAAGTTCTCAAAGGCGTCTATGACTCCCAAAAGACCCAGAACCAGTACTGATGACTTTGAAACAAACTGATAACAGTGACAAAATGATGAGGGAAAATAAGAGAAATATAAGGGAGAGAGAGATCCAGGAAATACCATCAACATGTCCTAAGAATCCAAGAAAGAGAAAACAGAATGGATAGGAGGGAAGCAATATACAAAGAACTAACAGGGGGAAATTACTGAGTTTATAGAATTAAAGTTTACCAGGCCGTAATGAAGAGACACAGGTACCTAGACATATCCTGTCGAATATTTCAAGAATTAAGGAGAAGGAAAAAACCCTACAAGCATCCAGGCAAGAAAAAAACAACTTAAGTCTTAGGCAGTGTTTCTCAACCCCAGCCATCATTCATTGGGTGAGCCTTTAAACAATACGAGTGTATGGGCACCATCCTTAGACATTCTGATTTAATTATTCTGGGATGGAACCTCAGCACTGACATTTAAAAAATCTCCCTCTCCGTGATTTGAATGTGCAGCGGAGGTTGAGAGCTACTGCCCCAAGGGAAGGAAAACCATCACCTTCTCCAGAGAACCAAATAGCAAATAGCAGCAGTAAATGAAGACAAGCTTCCAAGCTGTGGGGGGGGGGGGGGGGGGGGAGGGGAGAACAATGTACTTTTATTTATAAGAAAGACCAATATTCTCCCATTAGCCAGTGCTCAGAAAATATTGTACTTGCAGTTTAGGGATACAATCCAGCCAACCTGGGGAGGGATCAAAAGAAAGACCTCAAGAATGAGGATGACGTGATAAAAGCAGATGATAGGGAGCAAAGGAAACCAATTAAGCCTAGATCAACATCTTAAAACTGTGATTAGTATGGTTAGAAGAGAAAACAAATTTCAAAAATCAATCTCCAAAGAATAGTTAATAATGTAAAATAACAATAATAATTTACATCTAAATTCCAGAGTACATCAATCAAAACTGTGAGGTGGGGAGAGACAGTAAAGACAGTAAAAGCTTGAAAGACTTCTCGTTTTACGCATATGATAATTAATAGTTATATTCTCAAGCTTGATAAGCAGAGAGAAAAATATTTCAAATGGCTTTAAATAACATAAAGATTATTAGTAATAGAAAAGGTGTAATTATAGTTTAAATTACTAGAGAAATAAGAGGCAAGAAAACATAGTTGCAGAAAGTATATCAGGATATAAAAGCTATTATACAGTATGATCCTGTTTTATATATGTATATATAATACACATAAAAGAATAGAAAAAAGGAACACCCCCATATTAACCTGGTTGCCTTTAACAGGTTGGGATTATGGTTTGTGGTTTATTTTTTTACTAATGTGTTTCAACTTTTTCTACATGTTTTACAACAAGAATGCTATTTTTGTAATTCAAAAAATCAATAAACACTAAAATTGTAAATTAGTATTCATCTCTCTTTTATCTACTGTGCAATTCCATGGTGCATATTTACTACACAGGATAAGAGTTTTTTAATGTGCTAATTTTAGAAATGATAAAAATTTTTAAATCCGATCCCCCGTATTTTTAAAGACTCAACACCTATGAATACTATAAAGGTGTTTCTATTAACATTTCTTTCTAAATCACTTTCTGGAAGTAACATGTTTGTGTAAAATCTTGCCAAAAACAAGAATATTAAAATGTGTTCTACATTAAGAAGGAATCCACATCACAAGTATATTAGAAGTTAACAAGATTTGTGAGTAAAAAACATGAAACCAGAAGAACTGGGGAAAATGCGCTTGCAACTATAAATTCCATAATTAATTTACTTTACAAGTTTTTTTGGAGATGGTAGGTCACCAAGTAACATCTTGAATTTGCTTTTTATTCAGTCAAAACATATAAAAGCATGCATTACTTGCATGGACCACAGGACTGTGGTCTCAATGTATTTTTCCATCCAACTACCCACTTTTGATACGAAGAACACTGCACAAAGTCATATTGTTCTTTAATTTCACTTCAATTATTCCTTATTTCTGCCCCACACAGAACTCAGGATTTTATTTAATTCATGTTTTCCCAGGCTTCCACAGCCTGAGGGTTCTAATGGAGTCAAATTAGTAAGAACCCAAGTTTTATTTGCCCCTAACCCACTTTCCACGGTTACCTTCTGCAGGACCTCAATTGCCTGTGTCTCTCAAATACTTCTAGATGCCCCTGGACGTATACCTCATGTGCTCCCAGAGGGTCTGCTTTTGCTGTCTGCACTCCCTGCTGTGCCATCACCCACTGGGCAACCTGTGCCTGCTGCCATGTCTGTGGGTCCCACTGCTTTTTGCTGCAGCGGTGGCAACAAAGTCCTTAAAGCTTCAGTGTTGTGTTGGGAAGTAGGTAAGAATATGCTTCAGTGTTGTGTTGGGAAGTAGGTAAGAATATTTCATTCCTCTCTTGCCATTGTGCAGCCCCCAGTTTTGTTCCCACCCTAGTGTCATGTTTTAAAATAAAGCTCCTCAGGGTTTTTCTCTCTGATAACCCCACTCTCTCTATGCGTCTCAGATACATTTCCAGTGGGGCTTAGGCCTGGGGTTAAATCTAAGCGACAACGGACACGCTGAACTCAGTCTCCCCTCCCCTCCAAAGTCTAAAGTTTCATAGACTCAAGCTGGGACTCCTGTTGCACTCATGCTCCAAGGAGGCTATATACTCCGTATAAAGAAACATTTCATAATCTCGGTGTTGGATAAATGTATTTTAATGAATTTGTTGTGAATAAAGATAAATCTGATCTTTTTAAAAAGCACATGATTAAGCCATCGAGTTAGCCATTATCAGTTTCATTCTTGGGAGTTGTTTGTGGTTTCTTTTCTGGACTCTATTCTGTGTTGATTTTTTTTTTTTTAATTTTTTTTAATCTTCTGACTGAGCCACCCGGGCGCCCCTGATTTTCATTTTGGAGAAGATGGCTACCTATCCTCTCTAAAATCTATCCGGTCTAGTACTGCATGACACGGGATAAAAATCACCCTGGGGTTAAAATGCATTTTATTCGCCTGGCTAGTTAGGTAGTTCTTCTTATCAATATAAATAGATGCACTGCCAAAATAACAGGAACAAACAAGCAAAAAATTTCCTTGGAAATAGTGAGGAAAGCCCTTGGCCCCTAAACACCTTAAACAAACAAAGAAATAAAGCATTGTGAAATATGTGAATTAAAAAAAAAATGACTCTGTTATCTCTTAACCACATCCTTTTTTTCACTCTTTTTTCCAGCATTAATCACATCCTTCTAAAGTTGTCTTCTAATTAATCAAAATCCTTGTGAACTTTCCATGTTAAGATATGAATTTTGCATCATCATTCACTACTATATAGAGATTCACAGGAACTTCCTACTCCCACCCCAGCTTGACAGGGTCTTGAATGTTTGTGGCTTGCTTACTCCTTAATTTCCTCGGCAGCCAATGTTTTTATTCCCTGAAGTACCTCTCCTAAAGAAAAACTTCTCTAAGATAAACCAACCTCTCCCTCCACTTCTGTGATTGTTATTTTAAAGAATTTTCCCCTACTGAGCATCCTTCTGGAAGAGTTTTCAAACTTGTTCCTCAAAAAGAACTTTTTCTCCTTGATTCTCAATGAGAATTTCTCCTGAACTGCTCTAATACGGTAACATCACCATAGATCTCCTTTATATATGGAATTTTTTTTTTAAAGTCAAACTCAAAGAAACACAGTAGAATGGTAGTTGCTAGTGACTGAACGTTGGGGGGAAATGGGGAGAGGTTGGTCACAGGTACAAACTTTCAATTATAAGATGAATAAGTTCTGAGGATCTAATGTACAATATGTGACTATAGTTAACAATATTGTATTGCATACTCAAAATTCGCTAAGTGGGTAGATCTTATATGTTCCCATGACAAAAAAGAAAAAAAAAATAATGTAGGTGACAGATGTGTTAAGTAACCTTGTGGTGATCATTTCACAATGTATTGATATGTCAAATCATCACGTCACACATCTTAAATTTATATAATATGATATCAATTATATCTCAATAAAGCTGGGGGAAAAATAATATTTTACTATAGTTCCTAGGATAAAAGCTCTAGAAAAATGGAAGACCTTTTCAGCTTTTTGGTGTGGGAAACCAAAGAAAAGCCAATTTCAAAATCATATTTACTCATTCAAATACTTATTATCACACTGGGTATGTCTACAGCCTATGATCATGGTAATGTATGAGATTCCTCTTGGAGTCTCAAGGAGCTCACTGTCTACTGGGGGCTCACGCCATGCTCCTGGGAGAGTGGCTCTCTCTCCTTCCTCCAGCACGCCAAACTCAGTCCTTTCTCGGGAACTCATCTTCCATCTCCAGTTCTGTGTATAGCTTTCCTCTCATTGTGCTTCTGGACTCGATTCTAATATCACCTCCCTCAGAGAAGGCTTCCCTGATTTTCCACTCACGTACCCCCAACACTAGCTAATCATCATTTCACCCTATTTATTTCCTTCAAAGATTTGTATCAAATTTTTATTGGAAAATAAATTGTTCATATATTTATCATTCATTTTCTTCCACTAGAATGCAAATTCCATGAAAGCAGGATTTTTTTCCTGACTTATTTATGGGTACATGTATCTCTAACATGTATCTCAAAGATGGCTGGTAAGCACACTATAATGGCATTGAAAACGAGATGAAATAAATGGAAGTTAGATGAATGAATTCAGCAATTAGCTCATTATAATCCAATATGGTTATTGCCACGGTGGAGGAAAGATCTGGGTACCTCCTTGTATCTAACAATTGATGGGGTGGTAAACTATCCTAGGAGACAAGGGTTACTTTCTAGAGGACATGAAAACATGGACTTGAGAGAAGGGACTGCTCTAGAACATCCTGTAGCTTAATATGTCTGCAGATAAAAGGAAGAGGGAAGTGGGAGGAAGGGCTGGAGAAGGAGGAAATGGACAGAAAGCAGGGACCCACCCTGAAAGAGTTAGGGAGCCCGAGTAGGGACTCAGCCTTTATCCAGGGAGCAGTGGGGGGAGCAAACAGACCCTGAACAATGACAGGTGAGGGAGAGACAGGGAATGGGGACAGATCTGTTCTATAGACTGCTCACCTCAGAAGCACTATGGAGAATGGGATGGCATGACAGACACCAATAAGCCTGGTGACTCAGTAATTCAGACAAGAAATGAGAAGGAATTGAATTCCAGGGTTATGGAAACAGCAGAGGGGATGGTCTGGGGAGAGCATCTAGAAGTAAAATTGATTGCAGAGGGAGAAGGCAAGTTCAATTCTTCACGTAGTGACAGTTCTTCATTTTCAAGTTCTTCATTTTCTATAAAGCAGTTCCAAGGGCTACCCCCTTGTTCTTTCTATACTGAGACTGGGGGAGCTCCTTCCAGGTCAACCCACCGGTTGAAAGGACAGCCTCAGAGTCAGCCACTCCTGCTGCAGGTAGAAAACATGACCAGATCTCTTTGTTTTGGCCCACAGGTCAGCTTCAGGCTGGGCCACTTATATTCTGATACATACGGTAGGATAGGATTTTTTTTTAAGCTTCCATTTCCAGGTTCATCAAAATTCCTTTTAGATAAGGATATCTATTCTCTTCTATACTTATCTAACAAGTATTTGGTGAAAGCCAACTAAGGCTGGGTTCTGGGAACAAAGCCTCTGCCCTCAAGCAATCCAGAATTTCCTGAAGGAGATAAACCCCAGCAAAATGCCCTATGGTAAATACTGTAATAGAAGTCCTCACACAAAGAACACAAAACAGGGACCCCCTAAGCCAAAAATTAGTTTAGGGGTGGGGATCTTAGATCAGTGAAAGGTAGGAATGGCTCCTCAAAAAGAAAAACAGCTTGTAACAAAATGAAGATAAATACCCATTAAAAAATAATGTCAGCTCAGGTATAAACACAAGTGCATCGAAAACGTCCACCGTAATAAGTGATATTTCCTGAGTGCATGAAATGTGAGAGGAGCAATGGGTCTTGTACTGTTTTCCTCATTTCATTCTCACGGCAACCCTATGAGTTAGTCGCCCACTCCTCCATTTGCAGGTGAGGAAGCCGAGGCTCACAGAGGTTGAACACTTGGCCCCAGGTCCCACTAGTAGTTTAGCTGGGATTCACACCTGACGGTCTGAACACAGAGTTCTTAACTGGGATGTGGTCCTGCCTTCCACAGTTACAGCCATCTGTCTACCCATCAGCCAGTCCTCCACAGGGTTTAAGAGACTTGCCCACCATTCCCCTGGGTAAGAGTGAAGATTTCAAACCAGTTGGCTGAGCTCAGCTGCTTCTGCTTGTTCACACAGCCTTATCTTCCCGCTGGACATACAGCCTCCATGGAGAAAGAGAATGAGGAAATACACTCGCAGAAAATTAACTTTCCCCTCGTTTTCTTTGTCTCAATTCTCCACAGGAGGATCCAAGCACCGCCTCCTGCCTACGTGCCTCTGTTCCACAGGGGAGTTTGTCAGAGGTTACAAGGCCAGGGGCCGGAGAGGTTGGGCTGGCCCACACACCGCTCCATCATGGGCCTGTGCTAAGAAAGCTGGCAGTCCCCAGTGGGCAGTCATCCTCAAGAACATTTGCCCATAACTGCTGCATTATGTGGACAAATAAATACTTTTTTTTTTTTTTTCCAAAAACAGTAATTGGGAATGTGCAGTTGCTATACTGTTTATGAAAAATAGGAAGGGAGCACCTGAGTGGTTTGGTCGGTTAAGCATCTAACTTCGGCTCAGGTCATGATCTTATGGTTGGTGGGTTCAGGCCCCACAACAGGCTCAGCGCTGACAGCTCAGAGCCTGCTTGGAATTCTCTCTCACGCTCTTTCTCTGCCCCTCCCGTTTGTGCACGATCTCTCTTTGTCTCAAAAGTAAGTAAATAAACTTGAAAAAAAGAGAGAGAGAGAGAGAAAAAGAAAGAGAATGAGAAAGAGAAAAAGAAAAAGAAAAAAAGAAAAAGGGGAAGGTTAGCCTGAATCTATGTTGATATTCTTCAATATTTGCACCTCAGCAACCCAAGAGCTGGCTAATCATGGTAATAGATGTCCCTATTACCATATAACCATTGATAGCCTCTTCCTGTATAGTTGCAAGACCTAGATCTTTCCCCACCTGAAGGAGGCCCCAAGTTATTTTTGTGGGAGTCTGGGATGACTTTCCCAGGTTTCCTTCTCAGGCCTCCATCGCTCCCCTAGAAGAGAGATGCTTTCACGCCCCCTCCTACTGTCTCCCTCAAAGGCTCACATGGGCTGGGCTTCCTTTAAGCTTCCCTCT